TACCCAACAAAATATTAAAACAAGTATTGTAACAAAAACCAGCCGAAAAATAAGTATGTGCATATGTAGTTCCTGAAAGTGTCCGAATATTAAAGTTACGTGGAAATCGGACACTGTTTTATTTAAACCGTATTATTCAACAACTGTTGCAAGTTATGTAAATAAAATTTACGCTCTTGTCTATTAAGCGTATACGTTATCATAATCCTTAATCATTTTTTTTTTGTTAGAAATAAAGTTATAACGTAATATAGTAAAAATCTCATAGTGTCCGAATATTAAAGTTACTCACTGTATGTTTCAAATAAAATATCTCCTGAATAGTTATACATAGAAAGAAACTATTGATATATACATCGGATGTGTAAAATGATGAGCAATAATAAATCTGACTAACTAGACCGCAATCCCCGTACAATGTTCTCTCGGGCAACAAATAACAACTCCGGAAAATAGATAGGCAAATATTAACAACTTACGTAAGGCCTCCCAAACCGATGGATGTGAAAAAATTTATAGCAAATCTTGTGTTCTTCGGATTATCTCTCGGGAACAGGCCTTCAAATGCTTCTTCTAAAGTCCTGTAATACGTAATATTTTTTTTACATTAAAAAACTATATAAATATTATTGTTATTGTTTGAACAAATATTACGATAAACATATTTTAATGTGCCTATTTCAATATTAATCCTTTACGATCAAAATGCGTTAGGACATTATAGCCGCATTGACCGGAAGTATTTTGTAACAGGAAACGAGAGACATATTATAGATTAAGTAAACGGTTGTTTTTAAAGAATACAGTAGTTCATTCAGTCTATTGGTAGCTGTCATTTTACCCTATTATGACAGTTTTTGTAGAGAATATCTAATAAGACCAAAACGGTAAAAGTACGTAGCTCAGAATATCGCCGGACTTTAACAGCAAAAAGTTAGTCTAATTTACACTGACACGTAATATAGGCTATTGCTTTCCCTTTATTATCTGCAATCCACGTACGATTAAACGTGAGCACCCCTATGAATAAGAGCAGCAAAATTGAGAGTTAGGATCTCAAAAAGGCAGAAATAAAATGTTGGAAAAATGATTAGGGAGTTTTTGAAGACGAAGATTACAATTTTCATAATTAAAAAACGAAATTTAAAAGACAGGACCATAACGTCCGACAATTTGTTTTTAAACACTTCCCAAGATTTTTTAAATACAATAGTTTTTACCTGGTGATTTTTTCTTTCTCAATTTCACAAAACGTTATGAAAAAATATACTATGAAACTACTTTAGAAAATATTACTAAAAATGAAAGATGCAGTTTCACATACCACCATGCAGCCTCCTCGTGGCATGCTTTAGGGTCGTGAAAAAATCATCAGCTAGTGTCAGAGGTCACTCAGGAAAACTCCAAATCAAACAATATCCATCAGGATTTAATTTATTTAATACACTATTAGATAAAAGTTCGCTTTTATGAAAACCAACGTAGTGTTACGTCCGGATAAAAATCATCGCTCATCTTTAACCTTATTCTGTTGCTATTTTTATTCATCACGGTTATAGCGGCTATACCTTGTCCATTTGTATCATGAGCTACAGTCAAAAGAAATTTAGAATTAATAAAACAATCTTTTATGTCGTTGATATAGAGGATAAAAAGCAGAGGATCTAGGTGTAAGCCCTGCACCCGACAACGCTGCTAGGGGCTCAGATCTCGCAGACCTGACCTTAACGACAAGCTGTCTACGCAATAAACAGGAGGCAATCTACTGCGACAAAACCCCCCTAATTCCCAATGAAGAGAGTTTGCCAAGAGCAGCGCATGATCAACCGTGTCAAAGGCTTTTGAAAAATCACTATAGATAGCGTCTATCTGAGAATCCTTCTCAATGTTAGAGGCTAAAAAGTGAGAAAACAGAACGAGATTCGTGACAGTGGAGCGCCCCCTACAAAAACCATGTTGCTTGGGAATAATGAATGACTCAAAGATATCTAGTTAATATTTAGAGACCAGCAGATCAAGAATTTTCGGTATGCAGGACTGAATTGCGATAGGGCGGTAGTTACTAACGTCATCGCGAATACCGTCGTGCAACAAATACCTCTGAAAAATAATTACGAAACATGTTCGCAATTTCAGTCGAGCTGCCTGACTGGATCCACCCGAAATGTATGTGAGTTAGAAGGACTACAGTCTTCCTAACATTGATAACATAATCCCAGAAGGATTTAACATCGGGAACCACAAGAAGGCTTCAACATCCGAGATATATTTTGAATGATCCCGCTGCAGAGCAACATCGCAGGCCATGCGTAGAACCCTGAATTTCTCATACAAATCAGATGAGTTCATGCGCTTATATAACATATGCGTAATTTTCTTGTTCAAGATACAGGCCCTCGTGTCCTTACTAACCCACTTAGGGTAAGACGAGGAGCGCACAGTCACTAACGGAACAAACTTCTCAATCCCCTCATATTAAAATAGCATAAAAACGGTCTGTTGCACCACTAATATTGCCTGCACTTGAGAATACAGCATCCCAATTTACAGCTGACAAATAAACCAGCTTCCCCTGATAATTAGCTTTTGTAAAATCCCTAAAAGATGAGGCGTCGGAGACCACATGACCTTGATGCAAAGAAAACTATAGACTTATTTCAAGCGGGGGATGAGGCGCATCCACTGGCGACACGTAATTAAGCGTATAACTCACACTGCAAGGCATATCCGTAAAAAGCAGGTCAAGCAATTTGCCACGGTCGTTGAAAATCGAATTGACTTGAACAAGATTCAGAGACAACGCCAATTCGACAAGCAAATCATAATTGGATTCTTGACTGATACACTGAGCGGCATTAATGACGTCCCAGGGAGAAGTTAGGGGAAGAATGGCGAAGCGAAGTGGGGGCGGCCAACAGCCTAGAAGCAAGTCAAGCCGAAGCGTAGAGGGGGTAGCCTTTTTCCCTCGCTCGGGACACCTTTTATGTCATGAGTCGGAGGAATCCCGCATAAGAGCGTCTTCCTCGCTCCTAGCGACGGTTTCATATTAGACTCTCTCACTCGTTGTTAGTGGTGCCTCTCCGAGTTTATCTAGCGCGTATAGGAGCGTCTCGCTTACGCGCTCGCTCCCTGCGTATAAGAGCGTTTCACTCAAGCCAATGGGCTCTCTGGCTTCCACCAAGCTTTAGCCATCGTCAAGGACGTTGCGCCATAAAGGCTATGAGTCGAAACGAGACTCGAATAGCCAGAGCTTTTCCCCTTGCTCGGGATACCATTTTCGTCACAAGTCGGAGGAGTCCCGTATAAGGGCGTCTCTCGCACTCCTAGCGTCCATTCCCTATAAGACCCTCTCACTCGTTAGCGGTGGCGCAGCAAGTCCCTGGAGAACGTAGAAGAGCGTCTCACTCAAAACAATGAGCTCTCTCGCTTCCACCAATACCTCAGTCATCGGCAAGGAAGTTGCGCCGGTAGTTCTGTGAGTCCAAGCGAGACGCTCTTATAGACAGGATGCGAGCACATAAGCGAGACGCTCCTACACGCGCTAGAGAAACTCAGAGGCACCACTAACAGCGAGTGAGAAAGTCTCATATGAAACCGTCGCTAGGAGCGAGGAAGACGCTCTTATGCGGGACTCCTCCGACTCGTGACATAAGTGGTGTCCCGAGCGAGGAGAAAAGGTTACCCCCTCTACACTCCGACTTGACTTACTTCTAGCCTGCTGGCCGTCCCCACTCTCGCTTCGGCACTGTTCCCCTAACTTCTTTCTGGGACGTCGTAATGCCGCTCAGTGTACAAGACAAGAAGAAGACAAGAAGCTACGTTATGATCCATAAAACAAGGGACATTAAAGTCACCAGCAAAAAGGGAGTACGTTTCACCATCATCACATAAAACGCGCTAAATTGAATCACAATACTCTCTATACAGAGAGACCGTGGAGGCAGGGGGGGAGGTAAACAACACCTATTAGCAGATTTGAACCGGCGACCTTAACGGATACAAATATTTGCTCAATGTGAGCAACAGGGCTAACTACAATTTTTGTAGGCACTGAATGATGCACTGCAACTAGAACACCACCCCCGTGCGCCTTAACACTGATATCATAAGAACGGTCACACCTAAAGACTACTATCACACGCAGACCTAACGCGGCATCAGTGATATCTGCAGAGAGTCAAGTCTCGGTTAAAATAATAACACGCAAGTCCGCACTGGTGATGATATTAAGAAGTCTACTGAGTTTGGTCCGAAGACCACACACATTCTGGTACATACATACAACATGGACAGGCCTCGCACGCTCACTAGTTTTTTGAGGCAACACGGGTAAACCGCTGCACAGCAGACTCATCGACGATCACGGGGGCGCCATTGACGCAACAAATAGTTGCACTCTCGTTTCCAGCAGCGTGCATGTCAGTAAGTTGCGCCCTCAATCCACGAAGATGGTCATGTTGATGTAGGGTCAGATCCGCCATTACTTCGACATCAGGTACACGAATGCGGCGCTTGTTCTTAAGAATATCCAACGCATCCGCAGCATCAGATAAGACAACCTTCACGAAACGAGGTTTGCGTCCTTGAGTGCACTAAGGCGCATAGCTCTGACAGGCCCAGATTCTCAGCTAACCCATAAACCATTACTTCGACATCAGGTACACGAATGCGGCGCTTGTTCTTAAGAATATCCAACGTATCCGCAGCATCAGATAAGACAAACTTCACGAAACGAGGTTTGCGTCCTTGAGTGCACTAAGGCGCATAGCTCTGACAGGCCCAGATTCTCAGCTAACCCATAAACCATTGCGTTACGCGATCGACTGAGCCGATTCGTAGCCTCGGCAACAATTACAATGGAGTCCACCGCATGCAGTATTCGATTAAGACTAGCCTCAATCTGCGCAAACTTCAATTTAAGGTCACCGACCTCAAAAGTACACTATAGTACAGTCGACATCCTCGTACCTTAGAATAGCTGCTCATAATCCGAAATATGTAACGGTCCTAAAACCGACCATGAGAATGGTATACGACTCAACTTCACGCAAAATATAAAATATGCACCACACTGAAGCTATAAATCTGCATTCAGCAAAATTAAAATACGGGTCGCACAGTCGAGCACATCCTACGAGCGAAAGTGCAATAACAGTTCGAAATCCGATATAAGCACAACTGTCAATACTGCTCTAGAGCGCAACGAGCACACCTTAATGATTCGAGCACAAAAGTCGGCTAAAAAGGATCCAAAGCCTACAGATAATTACATCAACGTAACAAGTCCACTTTACAGAATCACTGAACATATGTATAACTACACAGATATGTCACCTACAGAGACGAGAAATCAAAATTAGTTTTAAGGGGGAATGGTACCGACGATTCTATGTGTGCGTGTGTCACACGTACGAGAGCTCGAAGCGAGGAAACTTCGCACCCAAAAATCTCTGTACAGAAAGCACTATCAATAAATTGATGACATAAACTTGAAGCCTTCCGATAAAGTAACTTTCCCTGCGGAGCCGGATTTTTGAATTATTGCTTAGGAGACATATAAAATGTAGGTGAAAATTGAGAC